ATATATTATTGCTTATTATTTATTTCTTTGTTTCAATTAAGCCCTTGCAACCAATACCGTTTTACTCTTTTTGATTATGAGTCCTACAAAACTTCTCATCCTTGCATCTAACTTGGTCTCAACTGTCAATTTTGTTTGGCACGGGGCATCGAGACTTAACATCATTCTTGCATTGTAAGCTGTCACCTTCCCCTCTTCTTTCAGTTTCAACGATGTGTCAAAGAACACTAATGCTAAATGCTCTCGCCCACCTCGGCTTTTCAAAGGAAGATTTCTTAGTATTTCATTAGAATCTTGTGCATATTTATTTTCTTGTTTTTCTTATCATTAGCTTTCTAGTTATTTTATTTATATTAGTAAAGTCTTTATTTTTACTGTCGCATTAGTAAAAAGGAAGTTTAGGAGGCTTTAAAGAAAACGAAAATGGTGTTTGGTATCAGATTTTTAGTAGGATTTAACCCTAGATTTTATCTAAATCCAGTCAAACAAAAAAAATTTAAAACTAAATGCAACTCTCTGTTAAATCCAAATCTTTTTCGTTCTGTATGTTTCTCCCTTTCTGTCTCTTATGCGGCGTAAATCCAGATTTATCAAATCCAAGTAGAAGGCGGATTACATGGATTGATGTCGTCGTTCTCAATTACTCCATTTTCGTGGCGAACTGACCGAAATCCGCGGATTTGATAAAACCTATTAACGTAAATCTTCTGCTGCAACTAAGCACTACTTAAGGGTGGAAGATCAGTAGGACTTGATGATATCACTATTAAAGTGTGGAAATATCTAAGAGATTTGAGTTTTTTGGCTTACTAAACTCTTTACTATTATTTTAAAAACTAAAAGATGCTCGAGTAGTGGTGGAAGAGTATTTTGGTTCCCATTTTTAAGAATAAAGGGGTTACATAAAAGTGTGCAAATTATAGAGAAATTAAGTTAATGTGTCATACTTTAAAATTATGGGAGGTTAATTGAACATAGGTTATGATGTAATACAAAGATTTTTCATAATCAATTTTGATTTATGTTGGAGCAAATGTCAAGAAATGAAAATGCAAAAAAGTTTAATAATATTTATATAACTCAAAAAAATTGTGATTACATAAAAAAAACATAGTGATATATATGAAAGTCCATTAATTTTTTTTTTATTTAGAAAAAGCTTATGATAAGGTTTTAAAATAAGTTCTTTGGAGAGTTCTAGAAAAGAAATGTGTTGATATGACTTATATTCCTGTCATTAATGATATGCATACTAGAGTTCTTACTTGTGTTCTTGTGTTCAAACAGGAGGGTTGATCAAGTATTTCCCTATTTTAATTAGATTACATCACAGATCTGCTTTCAGCCCATATTGGCTTTAAGCTCGTATCTTTTTGCTTTAGTTATGGATGCTCTTACTAGACATATACAGGAGGATATATTTTAGTGTATGTTTTTTGTTGATGATATCCTTCTTGCGGATAAGACTAGAGGAGTTTAGGAAAAACTTGAATTATGGAGGTCAAAATTGGAGTCTGGAGGCCTTCGTTTGCGAGTAGATCTAAAACTGAATACATGGAATATAATTTTAGTAGTTGTAGTAGCTCTAGTGTCGGAGTTGTAATTATTGGTGATCAAATCATTAAAAGGTGTCAACGTTTTAGACATCTAGGGTCTATTGTTTGAAGTGATGGTGATATAGATGAGGATGTTATTAGTAGAATTCAGGTTTGTTGGTCGCTTAGAATGGAGGAATGCATCAGGCCTATTGTGTGATAGAAACGTATTGCTTAGACGTAAAGGAAAAATTTATAAGTTAGTGGTGAGACCTGCAATGCTTTATGTCACAGACTGTTGGCTTTTGAAAGAGAAGCATAAAATAAAGTTTGGTATTGCTGAGATGAGAATGTTTAGGTGGATGAGTTGCTTGACACTTAGAGTCAAATTGCAAATGAATCTATTCGTGAAAGGGTTGGTGTAGCTCCAGTTCTAGACAAGATTAGAGAGAGTCGTCTTAGATGATTTGGTCACATTAAACGTCTACCATTTGATGATCTGGTTAGGAGAGTACATGTTTTAGATTCAACTTATGCTAAGAAAGGCATAGGTACTTATTCTAAGAAAGGCATAGGTAGAACTCAAAATACGTGGGCATATTGTATAAAAAAATGATTTTTATTAGAATTAAATGAAAATATGACATTCAATAGGACACTGGAAAAAAGGATTCATGTAGCCGAACCCACTTAGTGGGATAAATGCATGTTGTTGTTGTTTTTCTTATCCAAAGGTTTTTAGGGTGTGTTTGTTTCAGCTGTAGTTATGAAATCTCACTTAAAAAATTGCTTTGGAAAATCTGTTGTTTAAAAATTGGCGTTTTAGAAGCAGTTAGTCTGTTTGAAAAATTCAGTTTTAGATGTGTTGTCTATGAATAAATATCCAAAATACCTTTCTACTCATTTTACTGATTTTATAGAATTCATGTTTTTTATAGATTTATTTAAACCTTAAATTTAACTGTATTATATTTAATAAGCAAAAATACAAACATAAACTCAAAGTTAAATTATAGAATCAAGAGGGGCTTAAATTGCAGAAATAACATTTCTCTAAAATTTATTCCCTCAAAAATCAAAAAAAAAAAAATCATTTTCAAAATGGACAAATATAAGCTGTCAATAACCTTGTCACGCAATTATTATATATTTGCATATCTAACACCTAAAGTTTGACATTTACACTTATAAAACTTTGGCATCATAAACCTATGCATGAAAAAGTGTATTTCACCTTTTTAAACAATTAATAACAATGACTTTTTCATATATTTTTACTCACAACGTTTTCTCTAATATATTGTTCCTTATTTTATCCTTCGTAGTTTTTCCATACGCCTTTCCTTATTTTGCATCAGCTGGAAAAAAACAAAATTTAGGTGCCCAAAATAAAAAAAAAAACTGAAGAGCATTCTCAGTTCCACAATATATGATCCATCACATGATTTAGCACAATAGAGTCAGGGATTATACCAAGTTGGTCAATAAAATTTGGATTGCCAAATGAGCAAAGATGAGTTACAGGACCAATTTAGAAAAAAATTGAAACCTTTACCAAAGGAACAAATTTCTTTTACCAAAATATTATGTAACAGTTGATGAATCTGGCTCTTACCCCTCAGGCAGTATACCAAAAAAAAAAGTGACAATTTTTACCTTAATTGAATGAAGCCTTACCTACTTCTATGTTGGAATAGAGCCAAAGGGGAAGGAAGACGAGATTTAAGATGTGTTGTTACACTGCGATGCGGTCCTTGTCTAGGATCAGAGCAGAAGACTAAGGAAGGCTGGAGAGGTTCGGTTAACCGCAACACGTAGAGGACAAAACACTTGGGAGATGTGGCAAAGGAACTAGAGCAGGAAGAGATGTCGCGAAGAAGGTTCCTCTGGGTATATCAGGTAAAAGGGCTGTGCGAATGTGGAACATTCGGTCGCGCGATATTAGAAATTTTTTGCTGTGGTTTGAACCGCGATTCGATATGCGTGTCATTCAAATAGTTAAAATACAAAATCAATTCAAAAATCTGTTTGAAAAGGCCAAACAAACCGATCCTTAGTTTCATCTTTTTCAACTAGCTTTTTAAAGAAGATAGCTTTGTAAAATATTACTCATATCTTTCATTTATTAATTCTAAAAATATCTATAATGCCCTTCCCTTCATAAATTTTTATCTCTTTAAATGATATAGTTGATTTTGATGAATGACTAATTTGAAAAGTGGATGATGAGTTGGATGAAATAATGAATTAGTTATTGGTGAGGAGAATATGGCCTGTACTAGTGCAAAAAAAAAAAAAAAAACTGATGTTTGTGAAATAAATTATAATATTCGAGTGTGATCTAAGAGCATGGATAAAGAACCTTCTTTTTTTTAAAATTTATTAATATGATATAAACTATTGATATATTAATTTAGTTTATTATTATAATGACATAAATCATAAGTTGTAATATCAAATATTGATATAAAATTTAAGTTTGAAATATGATTCTATGTAAATATATAAATATTCACTTAAAATTTAAATATATTATAAGGTTCAAGATCCATAGTGGACTCATCATTGTTTTCATCATCTTCAAAAGAATCACCATATTTATTATCGTCTAATCTATCTCATTTGCAACTTTAAAATGTTCTTCATTCATTATAATTTTTTTTCTAATAATCA